AGTTGGATGGTTGGTTGGCTGGATGGTTGGTTGGTTGATATTTTGAATAACTCATTGGTTTTGATTTATTCAATCAACTAATTATTAATTTAATCAATCAACTAATAAACTGTTCATTCGTTTATTCAATCAATTAATTATTCATTTAATTTCTCAATTATTCATTTATATTAAATCAATCAATTATTCATTCAATCATTCATTCATCCATGCAGGCAGTCCTTTCATATTAAAAGTGGCTAGCAATGATAATAATGATGATGATATCTACTGTGGTAATGATGATGATGGCGACAGTGGTGGTGGTGGTGGTGGTGGTGGTGGTGGTGGTGATGGAATTGTGGACCAATCATACTTGGCTATCAGTCAGATCGGAAAAGAGAGTTATCTGAATTTGAACATTCCAGGTAATGATGATGATGATGATGATGATGATGACGACGACGACGTTGTTGTTGATGATGATATTTTTGTTGTTGTTGATGATGATGATGATGATGATGATGACGACGACGATGATGATGATGATAGTTACATTTCTATCATCATCATCGTTGTCGTCATCATCATCGTCTTCATCATCGTCTTCATCATCATCGTCTTCATCATCATCGTCTTCATCATCGTCATCATCACAGGCGTTATAAAAAACGAACTCCGTGTCTTCGTCTGTGGGCCGTCTGGTCATTTGGACTCCTGCTACTTCAAACCGACATCATCATCATCACGTCCACCACAATCGTCATCATCACCGATGGTCGGTGCTAGTAACGATGCCGTTGGTCATTACTCTATCGCTTTCATCCCAAAAGAGGCTGGAATCCATTTGGTTCATGTCAGTAGGAGAGGTCAGCCCGTAACTGGTCAGTTGGGATTCATCCATCATCATTACCATCATCACCACCATCATTACCATCATCATCATCATCATCATTATTACCATCATCATCATCATCATCATTACTATCATCATCATCATCATTATTATTATTGTTATTGTTGTTGTTGTGGTTGTTGTCATCATCACTATCCTCATCATCATCATTATCTTCATCATCATCATCATCATCATCATCATCATTATTATTATTATTATTATTATTATTATTATTATTATTATTATTATTATTACTAATAATAATAATAATATTATTATTATTACTTTGTCCTGGTTATGACATTAAACTGACCCTCACTGCCTTGTGAGCAATGTTGAATCATCAAAGGCTAGGCCCACCGCTTATAACTGTGGTTGCGTAAGGAAGGGCGTCCTGCGTAAAAATTAGCCAAATAAATTACTTATGATGACAGAAGTTTCATCATAGGTAGCCAAACGGCAACCCCCGATCTCGGGGAAAATGTCGTCTAAACGTGTGTTGTTGTTGTTGTATTATTATTATTACTGTTACATCACAGGTTCTCCATTTCGTTTCTTAGTCGGTCCGTTATTTGAGAGCAAGGTGGGAAATATCAAGGTCAGCGGTGAGGGCTTGTTCCGCGGTTGTGTTGGGGTAGCAGGTAGGTTGATTGCTTCATTCATTCTTTCGTTCGTTTATTCATTCATTCCTTCCATCATTCAATCGTTTGTTCATTCTATCATTCATTCGTTCGTTCGTTCGTTCGTTCATTCATTCAACTGTTATAACCGACCCCTTGAACTTCTGGATTCCTGACTTCTGAACAGACTAACTTCAGATGAACTTTATCAGAAAGAAAACAGTGCTGGCGATCACTCGACTGTATTTCTGTGATCAATCACTCGTTTATTCAATTGTTAAAATCGCTAGAATGCAACACAGTAACTTATCGACAGGTAAATCACGGAATGAAACCAATCGTCAATGATTATTAAGCTTTTAAGATGTTTCTTGGCCCTGAATTCTCTGTACTCGCTTCTCGAAAGATTATCGTAACTCACTCGCAGATCGCCTGCAGAATTCTTCGTGATAAACTTTTAATTATTTATTTATTTATTTATTCATCAAATCAAACAAAAGTAAGAAACAGAAATGATACGGAGATCAAAAAAAAAGATAGGAAAATCTTATGATAGACTACCGTTAAACAGAAAATGATACGTTTAAATGTAAATAGATAAATTAAAAAATATTAAAGCTACTGGAAAACTGAAAATTGAATTTTTTTCCTCGGACGTTATTTGATTGAAGTTCGCACAGAAAGCTTCTCAGCGATAGGAGGATTCTTCTACTCGAAACTTCTTCTGACCTCTTCTTAATTCTCGTTCTTCTTCTTCTTCGTTGTTCGTTTTCTGGGACCTCTTCTCTTTATAGAGCTGCCGATGGACACCCTTGTAAATAATTTACAAGCGGTTCATTCTTCAGTGCATGCTTAACAATTTCTAACTATTAGTTTTTTTTTATTTCTCGATCTCACGTCTGTAACAACGCATTGATTTTCTCATTCATTTTTTGTTCTTGTTTTCAATTCTTCATTTCTTCATTCACTCATCCAGTCTTTTTTTTATTAATTGGTTTATTCATTCACTCATCCATTTATTTATCCATTCATTCATTAATCCACTCACTCACTCATGCATGCATGGATGCATTCATGCAGGCACATTCACAGTGGATACGAAAGATGCGGGCGATGGCAACCTATCCATCACAATGGAGGGCCCCATGAAACCCGATGTCAGCTTCAAAGACAATCACGATGGCACATGTGACGTCACTTATACGTGCAATGTTCAAGGTCGTATTATTGATTGGTTGGTCGGTTGGCTGGCTGGTTGGTTGGTTGGTTCATTCATTCATTTATTCATTCATTCATTCATTCATTTATTCATTCATCCATTCATTCATTCATTCATTCGTTCATTCATTCATTCACTCATTCCTCAATCCATCAACCAACCACTGTCACGCAGGTACCTACTTACTCTCGGTACGTTTTAACGGCCAGCACATTACTGGCTCGCCATATTCGATACTGATTGATGGACGTGGTGATGGTGATGGTGGTGGTGGGGGAACGATGGATCGAATGGAAAAGAAAAAGAAGAGATATATGGTCTGTCTGTCTGTCGTTTTAATCGTCACTACAATCAACATCATCATCGTTAGTACCAAAACTATCATTATAATTGTCAGCCAAACGAGCCGATAGCGTACGAGGTCACGGCATCCCAGGTCAAAGGTCAACCTCTGGTCAAGGTCGTTTCTCCGAGAGGTGATGTCATATTGCCGATCGTCCAATCACTGGATGATGGTTATTATTATTATTGTTGTTGTTTTTATTATTGTTGTTGTTTCATATGTACGCGTGTTTTTATGACGACGACAACAACAACAACAACAACAACAACAACAACAGATAATTACGTCGTTCGCTTCTTACCGCACCACCCCGGTCTTCACAGGGTCGAAGTGACGCAGATGGGCAGACCCCTCTCTAACTCCCCCTTCAAACTCTTTGTCGGCGATTTGACCTCTAACCCGGAAAAGGTTATTTGCTCGGGTCAAGGTTTGACCTCTGGACATACTGGTCAGTATTTTGGTGTTGTTCTCAGTATTGCTACTAACTTAAATTTAGTTACTATTGTTATATCAATAGAAATAACAAAAAATAATAAGAAGAATAACGACGACAACCTTTTATACTAACCACAACAACAACAACAACAACAATAATCATAATAAAAATAAAACCTCCACCAATAGGCGAGCACCTAAAGTTTCAAGTGCACACAGAAGAGGCGGGGTGTGGTTCGCTAGAGGTCGCCATCGACGGACCTTCAAAAGTCAACATTCGTTGCCTCGACCTTCAAGTTCGACCTCTGACCTTTGTCTACGTGCCTCACTGCCCTGGCGTTTACAAAGTTATTCATTTGTGTATCTCTCTCTCTCTCTCTCTCTCTCACTTTCTCTCTCTCTCTCTCTCTTTCTTTCTCTCTCTCTTATTATTATTATTAGTTTGATTTATATTTATTAGGTGAGCGTTCTGTTTGACGGCAAGTCAGTGACTAAAAGTCCCTACAGAGTGAAAGTTAAAGGTTTATTATTATCATTATTATTATTATTATTATTATTATTATTATTATTATTATTATTATATTATCATCATCATATCAATTATAATATTATCATCATTATTATTATATATATATATATATATATATATATATATATATATATTATGATCATTTATATAGCGCCTATTAAAAACATTCTCATAGGCGCTTTACAACTATGGCAATTTTCTACAAGGAAAAAAGATATGTCTTCAATTGACTCTTGAACTGGGGAAGAGTCAGACCAGACCGGCGCAAAAAATATGGAAGTTCATTCCAATGCCTTGGTCCATAAACTGCAAAACTACGTGATGCAATTTTTAATTTAGTAACCGGGACCACTAACAAGTTTCCCCGATCTGATCGTAGGCCAGTTTTTAAAGAAATCGATGATCTGTCAATCAACATTTCGGACAGATATTGCGGAGCCAATCCGTTTAAGCATCTATAAACCAAAACACAGACTTTAAAAACAATTCTTTTGCTGACCGGCAACCAATGCAATTCCGACAGAAGTGGGCTAATGT